ATCAATGAAACTCCAAAAGTCGAGAGTCTTAAGCCCCTCCATCTCCCGAGGAGGCAAGGGGTTGTCTAAGCAATCATTACAAATCTTGGTGCGCTCGGACCCACAAAGTTCTAGTCCTACCACCAAAGTCCAGAAGGTCTGAGCAAAACCTCCTACTTCCATCCCCTGTTGGCGAAGATCTGCCAAGATCCGGAGCCGAGCTTCCGCTCCTTCTTCGAAGCTGGAGGAAGAATACGAATGCCCATGATCCACAATCCAATAAGCCCAGACTAGTTCTTGGATCTGTTGATGGCTGGTTTATTCTGTCACGGAATGCTCCAAAACAAGAAGATCCAAATGCAGCATTTATTGAAGAGCCCAAAAACAAACAGCGTAATCCACATCAGGGCAAAAATAGAGCAACAGAAAACATTTAACAGTAAACAATAAACCAGCAACCAAAGACAAAGAAAACCGGGCTTATATGTGGATGAGTTAACAAGGTAAATGAGACACAGCTGAATGTAATGAGACTTGATAGTCAAAGCAAAGGGTGATGGGAACTGAAGTCCAGAGAAACAAACAAAACTTAAGAAGCATGCCCTCTGGTGGCTATACATGGGCACACCAGCTAGACACTGTGACACTAGCTATTTAAACTGCTAAATACTGCATCGCTCTCAGGCATTTGCAACTCTTTAACTTCTCTTAGATCTCATCTTAAAAAAGCGACAATCATTCACTCATACGAGCATCGATTTGCCCCAGATTTCAGGCATTTGTCTGCGATCTCCATTAACTGTCGGTAAGAGTCAGAGCTAAATTTGTGTAGTGCATATAAGCATTGATCTGTCATAACCAACCACTCGTTATGAATGACACCATTCTGCCTGTGTGTTCACAAAATATTTTGAATTCAGATTTTGTCTCTTTTTGCTCCGCCAGTGAAAATAATTCCAAGTCACAGTGGAATGAACCGTGTAATGCGGTTTCATTTTTGAAAGAATCAGGGTACACACAACAGCGATGTATTAAAAAACAGAAACATTTTTTCGATTACACTTTATTTTAAGGTGTCCTTGTGAAAGTGTAATTATACATTTAAGTACTGAGTAATATTAATTAACTACATGTCCTTACTATATGGTTAGGGTTAAGATTAGGGTTTGGCTTATGGTTACTTTCATATAATTATGCATAATTTATTATTATTACAATAGTAAGTACATATAACGTGTAACAAGGACACCTTAAAATAAAGTGTTACCCATTTTTCCTTTCAGTTTTTAAAAAGTTTTGCATACAGACAACAACATTTTCAAAACGATCCCCACAGATCTGTGAAAATGACTAAAAACGCTGTAATACGCTGAGAATAGTAAAGCCATCTGCCATTGTTTGTTAGCTGCTATGCTCATGTTATGAAGTATAAAATATTAACTGTCTGCATTTGCTTAAACAAACACCCTGGAGAGATTGATAGTGATATAGCGTGAGATTGCACAACAGTTTTGGCTACACTTAAGGATGAATGGGATATTTACTGTAATATTTAATGTTTCCCAGGATCCTATCAGAGCTTTCAGAGTCATGAGACACAAAGTGCTGACTGCTGCTCTTCTGTTTATTTAAAATGCCCACAGTGTTTTAGTTTATGAAGCCTGCATGCTCCGGCAATGCAACTTTAAAAATGATGCAGCCTGTCTGAATTAATCATCAGCCTGTTTTCCACCTGAAAACTTTTAATGCTTAAGATAAAAATGTGTTTGATTAACATATACTCACTACAAATTCCTCAGGGATCAATCATAACCACTCAAAATGTGCGCGTGCTTTGCTAAGAGCAGTCTGGTAACAACAGTCATCTGAAAGGCAGTGCTTAGAGTATGACAAGATGAAATTCCAGCCACGAGTCTGTCGGGTTTGAACAGACAGGCCTACAGCAAAAGACAACATGAAATCAGCACCTGAAAGTGACTCAGACTATAGACACATATGATCTAAACAGATGTGCTTCAACAGATGTTTTTGAACTATAATGCAAAGGGGAAAATCATATAACAATACATACATAAAACTTTGTTACATTTAATGTTATGTTTGTTACATTTTGTTTCATTTAACAGAACTAAAGATATGACTGAGGGACATATTTAATTTCATAATTACTTCTGTTGTCTTTGAAATATCATTAAGTGTATGGTTAAATGTACTGGCAATCATTTATGGTAAACTAAAATATAATGTCATTTTTGTTGTCGTGTATTTGAATATATTTGTAATTACATATTTGTAACAATGAAGTTGCAGTTTAGTACATTTCAAAATATTAACTTTAAATGTAATATCAAATAACATACTAATTAAAATTATAATCAAGAACTTAACATGTGCTTTAGTATGTTAGTGACCAAATTAAAATAAGTGTACTTCTTTAAACACAATAAAAGTTTAAAAGTTTAAAGATGAAAAGTTTAAACATTATTTCAAAGTGCACTTTTTACTAAGCATGTTAAGAAACATATTTATGAAAGTGAACTCTCTTTAAGTGCACTTAAGTGGCCTTTTATTTCATAAACACCATACTACCTGCAAGTACAATTTTTTAAATATACTTTCCAAATTTTAAGCACTCTGTTCACAAGGGATGTTGAATGAATATACATATATAATATATACATTACATATATGTCCTGTTTCTGATACACTTTAGCACACAAAAATAGAAGGTTTATGTCGGAAGTAATTTCCTACTTTTGTATCTGAAGGTGACATCAACATGGACAAGAGAATATGATACCAATACTCTCAGGAGATTTGTAACACATGTAAGTGTTTGGGATGGACTTATAACACATGCCATTAAGTAAGAATTATATTTGTTTCCTTTAGAAAAGTGCTGTGTAGTTATTTCTCATGGCTCCAGGCTACTTTTCAAATATTCATAATGCATACTGATGGACAGCAACAATTAACGTCCTAGGCAATTCAAATATATATATATATATATATATATATATATATATA